TTCCGCTAGGTTTACCTTAGGACATGAGGGTCGTCAAGGGCCTTGAACTTCGGTTTGGTTCTTCATTTGATTAATAGCGTCCTCTGATTAATCAGAGTCCCATTTGGCTTTGACTCAGTACCTGGACTGGAGCTCCATGGATCCTTCCAGGATTTATAAGTGCATTTAATTTTGGGTGAGGTCCTTTTGAAAGCCGTGCCAAATCACAACTCCATAGTCAACAACCAGGATCAGACATTCAAGTTTCACGTAAAGTTTAGAGTCTTGGTTTCTGGAGCGTTCCAGTGCTTACAGATGAAGGAGCGTGGGGGGATACGCAGATGGCATGCAGGAGCCCCGCCGACTGGCCGCCATCAGGCCAGCTGAGAGGAAGACAGTGGAAGGAGACCTGTGCTAGTGACCGAGATAAGTTGTGTGCTTGCTTCTCCTGCTGACATCTGACTAATCTGTTTAGGAGATTGAGGTTCCAGAACAAGGCAAGAGCCAAAGACACCACCTTCAGCTAAGCCCGGTCCGTGAGTAAAATGCTGTAATTGAAGAGTCGTGATTTTCATGAATCGGCTCCCGCCCCCTGCTCCCCCATCCCGACCCTGCTCTGAGTAACTGAAGCCATTCTACTGCCAAGACCTCCCCCAATTCTGTTCCTCAGAAGCTCCTTCATGTGGGTCAGGCCAACCAGGAGACCATCCTGAAGTACAGTGTATTGTTGTTACAGTGTATTGTTTCACTGTTATTGTTGCACCCAGCAGGGCCAGAAGAAAAACTTTCCTGAATTCTCATGTAGGAAATTTCCAAGAAGAGCTAGAATCCTTTAGTTAACTCATTTATCCCTGGGTGGTGCAAACCGTTAACTGGTTTCACCTGCTAACTGATTCAGGTTAGAAGTCCAGAGGAGCCTCAGAAGAAAGGCCTGGTGCTCTCCTTGGGAAGAATTGATCCCTGCCAATGTGATGGCTCACAGGTCTACTTTCACACATGTGGGGTCACCGTGAGTCAGAGTTGACCCAACAGCAACTGGCTAACATCATCCAAATCCTCTCCGTCAGTCGAGGAAACCAGGGCACAGAGAGATGACGTGAGTTGCCCAAGGTTCCACGGTAATCACTGGCTGAAGGGTCAGTGACTCAGAGCTGGGCCTTCACCACCACTTCCGGCTTGCCCTTGCTAAGTTCCGATCCTAGTGTAGGTGAAGGAAATACAGGGGACCCTTTTAAGAACATTTTAATTTATTTTATTACTGACCCAACTCTCATCACAGGGTCCAGTGTCTACAGGAAGGTCCTTTAAAAATATTTCTTACATGAATAAGCTCAGAAATAAGTCCAATAAAAGCAAAGTTTTCTGTTTCATCATTATAGCATTTCTGGCTGGTTAGATCAGAGATGGGGGACAGAAACGCCACCAACTACTGGCTATGCGTCTTTGGCAGTCAGAAAGCTCGATGTTTATAGGGACTCCTGCGGTATTGAGTGAAATGCAGATTTCTGGGCCTCATCCCTACCCCCCCCCCCCCCCCAACAGACACACACACACACTGATTCAGTAGATCTGTGGTCACGGGCTTGAGAGTCAGTCTTTATAAGGAGCATCTCAGTGGATCATACTGCACCAACTTTCAATATTTTCATCTGTAAAATGTAGGTGATAGTCACACCATCATTTAAATGTATACAGATTTCAGCAGCGTATTGACAACAAAGAGGTGGCAACACGGTCCTGAACCGTGGCAACACTAGAATAATCCTTGGAAGCTCTGAAGAATGATGAAGAGGAGGCCCCACCTCAGAGATTTGGATCGAATTGCTTTGGGGTGACAAGACAATGGAGTTTTCAATGATCTCCAGCTGCTTCTCTGTGCATCCAGGACTGAAACTAGAACAGTGGTGATCCTAGACCAATGGTCATCCCAGCATCAGCCTCTTCTGATGTCTTAGGCTGGGTTCTCTAGGGAAGCAAAAACAATGATGTTCACACATTGAGATACATACATAGAGAAAAGTTTATTTATTTATTTTAATCATTTTATTAGGGGCTCATACAACTCTGATCACAGTCCATCCATCCATCCATTGTGTAAGGCACATTTGTACATTCATTGCCCTCATCATTCTCAAAACATTCGCTCTCCATATAGAGAAGTTTATATCAAAGAAATGGCTCACTCAGTTGTGAAGGTGGACAAGTTCCAATTCCGTGGGTCAGATGTCAGGCAGGTGTCTCTGGACTTCAGTAGTGTAGTTGTAGGGGTCGATGACCCCAAGATCAGCAGGTCACACAGCAGGCTTCTGGTTGCAGAGGCAACTAAAGCCAAGAGAGACAGGCTGCTGGCGACTCCCAGAATTGGCAGGCAACGTTGCAGGCCATTGGCTTGAGTCCAAAGAGCTGGAAATTTGGAGGAGGAACCAGATCCAGCAAAAAGCAAGCATACTTTTCCACACTGTCCACTTGTACTGGAAACAGACCACACCCTTGACGAAGTTCCTTTTACTTGATTTAGATCAGGGTTGTGATCTGCCTTAAGGGTGTTGTGTCTCACCCTTCTGCTACAACCGTTGAGACTGAGAAAACAACACTTGCTGCAGTCCTTTGACGGGGAGCTGCAGAGGTTCAGGCCAGATTCAGAAGAGGACGTGGAACAAGGGATATCGCTGCTGATGTCAGATGGATCTTGGCTCAAAGCAGAGAATACTTGGAAGATGTTGGCTTGTGTTTTATTGGCTAGTTTTATTGGCTAGGTAAAAGCCTTTGACTGTGTGGATCTTAACCGATGGATAACTTTGGGAAGAATGGAAATTCTGGAACACTTTATCATGCTCATGCAGAACTTGTACGTGGATCAAGAGGCAGTTGTGTGAACAGAACAAGGAAATGCTGTATGGTTTAAAATCGGGGCGCGTGTGACACAGTTGTATCCTTTCACCACACTTACGTTGTCTGCTGAGCAAACCATCCGAGAAGTTGGATTACAGGAAGAGAACGTGGCACCAGGACGGAGGAAGGCTTATTAACAGCCTGCAATATGCAGATGAGACAAGCTTGCTGGCTGAAAGTGAGGAGGACTGGCAGCCCTTGCTGACGAAGATCAAGGATTGGAGCCTTCGGTACGGATGACAACTGAGTGTCAACAAGACCAAAATCCTCACACCTGAGCCAATAGGTAGCATGATGATAAGTGGAGAAAGAAAAAGAATCTGGGCTTTTTTTTAAAAAAAAAAAAAAAGGTCTAGCCATTGAGCTGTTCTGAATTTTCCACCATCACCACCACCAGGCTGAAGCCCACTCTCTTGGCCCTAACTAAGGGATATACTGATGGCTAGCCAACTACCTACTCAATGAAAGTTTATGGCTACTATAACCTCCCCTAATACTTTTGAATAAGAATAAACTTTAAAAGTACAGGGTGCTTAAAAAAGTTAGAGGAAACACAGAATGATATTGGAATGTTTCCAACTTTTGGAAGCACCCTGGTATGTTTTTGTACTGGAGTGCCCTGCAATTTTTAAGTGAAGTTCAACATTGAATGTCGCCCAGCTTTGAGAGAGAGGGATGGGATGAGACAAGCAGCATTCAGATGTTACCTGGATGGCATCCCAGGGCCTAGAAAGTTACTCCGAGCAGATCTACCTCCTCTTACTGGTTGCCCTTGAGTCAGTTCTGACCACAGCAGCTCCACGGGTGCCAGAATAGAACTGTGACCCATAGGTTTTCCGATCGTGGATTGTTCATAAGTAGATCACCAGGCCTTTCTTCCGATGCACCTACAGGCGGACTTGAATTTCCAATATTTCAGTTAGCAGATGAGAGTGTTAACCTGTTATACCTGCCAGAGGTTCCAAGAGATGCACTCACTGTCAAAACCTCACTGCTATCAAGTCAATTCTGAGTCATAGCCACCCTTTAGCACAGAGTGGGACTGCTCCATACCCCCTCCCCCCCCTGACGGGAACAGAAAGAACTCTGACGGGAGCAGAAAGCCTCACCTTTCTCACACAGATCTGCTAATGGTTTTGAACTGAGGACCTGGGAGTTAGCAGCCCAATCCATGACCCAGTCCACCGCCACATCTCCTTCAACAGATAGACACTCTCCCCCGAATAAGGCGTCTACCAGATCAAACCTTGAGAGCAAGCCTCTTTGAAACAAAGCTAGCCTTTCTCTTGCGCTTTCAACGCTGTTTTTAACTCCCCTACATTGTTGCTGTTACCATTCTAGAAACCATTTCCTCTCACGTACATTCTGACCTCGCTATGTTTACTTTGCAGTGGCGAGACTCCTCCAATTTGTTGCCGAGAAAAAGCAAGATTTCCAATAAGGTAGCTGAAGAGGATTGTGTTTTTGGGACCATAAAGGAAGAAGATCTTTGAAGAGAGACTCTCACTTTTTAAAAATGTCCTTTAAGGGAAAAAAGAAAAAAAGAATGCCCTGTAAGGCTCTCCCACGAGGGCTAAGAGCTGGGGGTTGGAGGTGAGCTTCCTTATTACCCATGAAAAAAAGGGGGTGCCCTCCCATGTTTCAGCCACCGAGAGATTTTGGCACGAAGTCTTATTTGTCCAGACTCCTGAAACATCAAACTCTAAGTAAATCTCAAAATTAAAAAAAAAAAAAGGCAGGGGCAGGGAGACCAGGCATCCAATTTCATTGTAATGGCTTATGAAAGACAATAGCAACTCTTTATCAAGCAATCTGAAGCTCATTCTATTTTTGCATCTGACAGGAATGAAAGGTTGATGACGAAACAGTGCACATGCGGTGGGTCTCTAAACATCCCCGTCTTAGATGTACTGTAGCAGGAAGCAAGGAAACTTAGGAATGCCTAGAGCATAGGTTCCCAAACCTACTTAGCCTACTGCCCCCTTTTCAGAAATTTTATATATATACTCAGTGCCCCAGTGGCAATGAAAACATTGTAGATATCTGCTTTTGCAGCCTCACCCCCAAGCCCCCTCCATTCCACCACTCTTCAGGCTAGGGCCCACCTTGGGAAATATTCGTAAACAAACCAACCCCCAACTCTCTGTCATCTAGCCCATTCTGGCTCCTGAGGATCCTGTAAGACAGGGTTGAACTGCCTCTGTGGGTTTCCCAGGCTGCATCTCCTTAAGGAAATGGAAAGCCCCATCTTTCTCCTGTGAAGCAGCTGCTGATCATGAGGGTAGCAGCCCAGCGGATCACCCATCGGCCACTTGGGCTCCTTTGGGAGACACTGACTGAGAGTTCTAAATACCACAGTTGTTAGTCACTGTCCTGTGAGGGGTCAGGGAAGCATGACGGTACGGCGCATTGTGTGTCCCCTTAGGAGCTTGCAAGATGTCTTAGGTGAGGGTAAGTTCTAAAGATAGGACTCTCCCCCAGAAGAAAATTGGGCTCCCCCTAAGAAATGGAATCATGGAAAACACATTCTGGATCCGCAGATCCCCCCCCAGGATCTCCGTGAGGCCCCGGACCGCACTTTTGGTTCTGTAAGTAGTTCTGAGCTTAGCGGCTGTCCAGCCTCGGGCTTCTTGGGAGTTGTGCTTGGATCCTGTCCTTTGGTGAACTCAGTTCAATAATCATCCGGCTGTTCTGGGATGTTGTTTTGTTATTTTTGAAACCAGCATATGATATCATAACTCTCAGATTTAAAAATACACACTTTCTCAAAAATATTTTCCCTTGCTTAATCATATGATTAATCTGGTCATGAATGTAATTATGCTCAGAAGTAGGACTGCAGTAAGGGGAAGGGGTGGTGGCCTCTATCGAATGTCATTCTCTAATGCGCACTATTCTGATGTGCTTTTCTAGCTGGGTCGTGTAGCTGATCATATAATAAATATGAACTACATTTGAGTGTGTATCGTATTTACTGGAAGACATGGGGTGAGTCATCCTTCTGTAATGTGAATTTATTTAAAGCTCTATAATCGTTTGCAAATTGATCTGCCCACAACTTCCAGTGCTGTAGTGTTTGATATTTGTATCCTACGCTATTTTTGCAGGGGGGGGGGACCCACAAAATCCCAAATCATGGATTTGTGGATTCACATGAGTTTTCAGATGGAAGTGGAAATGTATCTGCTGTTTTGCCACTCTAAGAAGAGTCCAAGTGTTTATTATTTTTAATATCAACCCCCTACACGGTGTAAGGGACTATTGTAGACACTAGGAATTCACAGAGAATTTGTATTTCAAGGGAAAACTAAACCCAAACCCACTGCCATTAAGCTGATTCTGACTCATCGCCATCCTGGCTTAGGGTTTCTGAGACTGTGAATCTCAAATCAGAGCAGACAGCCTCATCGTTCTCCCTCAGAGAACCACTGAGAAGACGCATATATGATACTGAACCATGTGAATTTGCAGTTTTTGTAGGTTGGATGTTGTCAATGTCATGTTTCCACCTCGTAAAGAAGACGGACTCATCCCAGATAGCAGATATTGCTGTTGCATGCCATCCGGTCAACATTTGTCTGGTAGGGACCCACATGACAAGGGTAGAACTGCCCCATAGAGTTTCCTGGGATCTAATCTTGATAGAAGAACTCTGTGTGATGCAATGGTTAAGTGCATGGCTGCTGTCCACCAGGTTGGTGGTTCAAATCCACCAGCCCTTCTGTGGGAGAAAGATGTGGCGGTCTGCTTCCACACGGATTTACAGCCTTGGAAAAGCCACAGGGAAGTTTCTCTCTCGACTCGAAGTTTCAGAATCGACTCAAAGGTAACCAGCAATCTTTACAGGAGCAAATCGCCAGGTTTTCTCTCCTGCAGAGCCACTAGTGGATTTGAACCACTGACCATTGCACCACCTGACCCGTCTCCACTCACTGCCAGTGAGTGGATTTCAACTCAGCATAGTGACCCTGTAGTACAGAGTACAATTGCCCCTGTGGACTTCTGAGACTGTACATTTTTGTGGGAGTAGAAAGCTCCTGTTTCTCCCTCAGAGCCACGGGTGGTTTTGAACTGCTGACCTTTCGGTTTGTAGCTTAGTGGGTAACCCACTGTGCTATAGGACTCTCTAGAGTTCCCTTTAACTACTCTACATTCCAAAACAAGTTTCAGAGTCTCTTCTCAGCGACATCCATTTGTTTTGTTTTCTGTCTTTTTAATAACCTTTTGCTTTTTTCTTGTATGACGTCCTTTTTATCAACCAAAAACTTGGCTGTCTTCAGTGACTAGTGTTCACTGCATCAAATATATTCTTGACATTCTAGTGGATATCCGCCTAGTCATACATTGGCTCTCCTGAGTTTGTTAACATTTTCAACTTGACCTTGCATATGAGCAATTGATGGTCTGTTTCATATCCGCCCCTGGCCTTATTTGAGTGATGCTATTGAGCTTTTCCACCATCTCTTTCCATCGAGGTAGTCTATGTGATGATTGTGTATTCCGTCTAGCAAGGTCCATGTACAGCTGCTGGTTTTGTTTTTTTCCCCCAATCATTTTATTGGGGGCTCATACAACTCTTATCACAATCCATCCATACATCCATTGTGTCAAGCACATTTGTACACGTGTTACCATCATCATTCTCAAAACATTTGCTTTCTACTTGAGCC